ACTTAATGCCTTGAGGCCCATTACCTTATCCTTGTAAAAGGTATATTATGTTATCGAGGTATCACCGTATGGCCTTAACATGAAATATCTGATATTGCCATCACCTGCACTTAACAAAACCATATGCATGTAAGGGGCTGAGCGCAGGGCTTTTCAGAGAATCAACATTTACTTGACAGGTAGTTACTCTAAGACAAAAACAAATATGAATATAGAAATACTCATTCATTGCCCTAAGTATACAAAAAAAGGAATCCAAGTGCCAGCTTCTTACTCTGAGTATTGATAACAATGCCAATCAACCACACGAATGTGGAAAACTCAAGTTAAACAAGGAAAGCAAAGCTTGTATGAATAAGGAAGGAATAATTTAAGTATTTACATATAACAAATTAATTCTAGTGGCATGTAAATGGCAATTCTTTGAAAAAGTTCAGAATCAAAAAGTTCTCCAAATTAAAGAAGCAAAAGATAGCCCGACAGAGAATTACTATTCTTACATATACAACTATCCATCACCTCCATCTAGTGGAAGCTAGTTGCTATGATACAAAAGATTAAGTACTGAGGAAATACCAAATAATTAAAACAAAGGCAAAGCCTGGTCGTCTCACTTTATAAAACAGTCTCAGAGCTAAAGTGATACCTGTGACAGGTAAAGTTAACACTTCAGCGGTTACAATTGAGGATGAAAAAGCCTAGATCATAAAAACCTCATAGGAGAAAACTGAAGCGCTGTCTTCATGGCCGTGGATGTGGCAGTGGTCCCGTTAGCACACCAGATGCAAAAGCAACAGCAGCAGCAAGGACGATGTGGACATCACCATAAGTAAAAACGTTGTTGCTTCTTCAACAAACGATCAAGAAAATGAACAGACAGCCCATGGAAAAGGAATTATATATAATATTTATGAATAAAAAACATACTAAAAAACCAGGAGCCAAACATATAACATTGTGAAAAAACGTAGAGAACTGGCATGAAAACTGTCCAGTGAGAACTTAATTTGTTGTATAAACACAGTATTACTTAAAAAAAAACAAAAACCAGTAACAAGTGTTGATGCACATATAGAGAAACTGAAACCCTACATGATTGTAATGAAAATGTAAAACTGTTATAGTCACTTTTACAAGTAGTCTAGCAGTATAATTCAAAACGTTACTACGCGACCTATAAATTCTAAATTCGCCAGAGACAAAATTCATTTTCCAACTGGCCCAACATTTAATAAAAATAATTTTGTAAGTGGGTGTATAAACACATGTACTGAAGACAACTGATGGTACCCAGCTATCAAAAGATATAGCATCTGGGGTCTAAAAGACTTGTAAAAAACTTGTAGTTAAACAAGCGGCCATCTAGCAGGGAAGCAACGTAGTCCACATGGAAGAAGCACACCAGTCTATGTTATCATAAGGTATAGACTGGAAGAGGTATCAGAAGCTCAAAAACACACAACCAAATCATTGTGAAGTGGCATGGATGTAGTGGAGACCCAAAACCCACCTGGAAGGTAAGTGAGCAGCCCCTCTCAGAAAGGCCACATGGAAAAATGATAAATTCAGGGTGAGGTACGGCACTGATGAACTACTTAACTACCTCTAATTCCTAAATAGTTCCTCCCCTTACTATTATGGTTTGTTTTACCTCATTAATCATGTTAGATTTGCATAAATTAAATTGTATATTTAAGCTAGTGTGGTACATGAAAGTCAAGATAGATAACCCTTGAGAAACAGTAACATTTGTACATTCATTGCCCTCAGCATTCTCAAAACATTTGCTCTCCACCTCAGTCCCTGGCATGAGCTCATTTTTACCCCTCCCTCCCGGCTCCCCCCTCCTTTATGAACTCTTGATAATTTATAAATTATTATTTTCTCATATCTTGCACGTCTGAGTCTCCCTTCACCCACTTTTCTGTTGTCCAGCCCCCAGGGAGGAGGTTATATGTAGATCCTTGTAATCGGTTCCCCCTTTCCAACCCACCCTCCCTCCACCCTCCCAGTATTGCCACTTGCACCACTGGTCTTGAATGGATCATCCGCCCTGGATTCCCTGTGTTTCCAGTTCCTATCTGTACCAGTGTAGATCCTCTGATCTAGCCAGATTTGTAAGATAGGATTGGGATCATGATGGGGGGTAGGGGGGAAGCATTTAGGAACTAGAGAGGAAAGTTGTATGTTTCATCATTGCTACATCGCACCCTAACTGGCTCGTCTCCTCCTAACTGGCTCGTCTCCTCCCCGAGACCCTTCTGTAAAGGGATGTCCAGTGGCCACAAATGGGTAAAATAATTCTTAAGATTTAAAAAGTTTCATACGGAGCTTTATCTAATCACCTTTTAAAGTTTACTTAATAATTTTGTTTTGCAAATTCTGTTAAGTATACTATATAAACATTCATGTTTGCAAATGATGGCACCGTTTCTTCCTGTTCCAGTGTGTATCCGTCTATTTTTCTTTCTTTGTGCTGCACTACAAATGGGAACAGGATCAGATAGATTCCTGATCTCAAGAGAAAGGGCTTTCATCATTTTAGTGTGTAGACTGACGCTTGCTCTGACTGGACTTTTGTAGATACCCTATACTAGATTAAGAAAAGTTCCTTCACTTTTACACATTTAACATACAATTGACCCTTCAACACAGAATTTATCTGTGCAAGTCCATTAACACAAGAATTTTTTTTTTGTTTTTTTCCCACAAGGATTTTTTTTTTAATCATGTGACACTAACCGTCTCAATGTGAGCAGCTTCTCTCTCCAGTAAATTATTAACACAGTCAAAAGCTACTATCGTTTGCAGTTCTTGTGTATTTTTCCACCATATTCAGGGAAGTTCTGTAAACCTTGAATAACACCACGGGACCTAAACAAAGTGCTATTAGACGCGCGCCTAAGACAGAAAACTAGTGACATGACAAGAAAAAGCTGAACTGCTTGATATGTACCAGACATTGAGGTCCGAAGCGTCAGGTGCTGCCATTTCAAGACAATGAATCCAGCACAGGGACCATTGTAAAAAAAGAAATTTGTTAAGCCGCTCCTGCAGCTACACCAGCAGACACAAACACCGCATCTTTTGCAAAATGCCATTTTATCTCATATTGAAAATGCAGCTGTTATGTGGGCATAATACATAGTACATATAAAATCCACGTTAATTGGTCGTTTGTGTTTTGGGTAAGGTCTCAGACAACAATAAACAATTAATGAAGTTTCTGGGGAGTTTTAAGGTTAGGTAAATTTCTGACTAAGCAGATACTGTATTTACTAAACTTCTCCATGTTACTGAGTTGACAAGAGTTTTTCTTTCTCATTCTGTAAATGTACTGAATTCAACTGATCAATTTTTATGTCCTAAACTCACTTTGAAATCCTAGAACAAAATTCACAATAGACCGGACTATAAGGGAAACGAACACACAGGTTAAGTTCAAAACCATTAGCAGCAAAGAGGAAGGCATGGACCTGCAGGGAAGAGAGTAAGTAGAGTAAGTGATGTAACACTGTGGGGGCGGCTGCAATCAATGAAATGACAAAAGTCCATGAACTGTTGAATCGAAAACTGATCTGCTCTATAAACCTTCAATCAACTTACAATAAAATAAATTCAAAACGAAATATGCTTAGATGCCTGGGTTTTGTTGCCTTCTCTATAATATTTATACTTAAAGAATAAGTTCCTCATTAGGCATAACTTTACAGGCATCCTATAACGTCCTTTCATTATTTAGTTCCAAAGATTTTCTACTTTCTTATTAATTAGTTATTTGATTCACGGCTGATTCAACAATGTATTGTTCTCAATTTCCAAACATAGGGAAGAAATGATGCATCTGAATGATGGTGAAGAATACTGGAAAGCACCGTGGACTGCCAAAAGAACAAATTGTCTTGGAAGACGTGCTGCCAGAATGTTCCTTAGAAGCAAGGATGGGGGCACTCGTCTCAGTGAGAGACCAATCCCTGGGGAAGGACATCATGCTTGGTAGAGCAGAGTGGCAGCAAAACAGACTCCCAAGGAGACAGACTGACAAAGTGGCTGCAATAGGCTCACACATTTAACAACTGTGAGAATGACGCAGGACGGGCAACGGTCTAAAGTCTGTTGTACGCAGGGTCACTATGAGTAGAGTGGACCTGGTGGCACCTAATAACAACAAGGGATTACTAGTTATCTTTTGTTATTAACTCCTATCATAACCGCACTGGCCAGAAAACAAAACACTGGATATCGAAGAATTATAGCCATTCAAATCTGACATAATTTGTTTCCTTGCATAGATGTGCTGTGTGGACATGCTCACCAAACGACTTGATCATTGTACTCCTGAGAGATTTCTATTTCTTACTCTAAATTAAATAATATCTAATTTGGCAGCGCACTGTCTTATGAACTCTGGCCACAGACGATTTTTAGGGCTTGCAGAGCTGAAAACCAGAATTTAAACCATTGTACATTCAACAAACTAGTATTCTGCTGGGCAGTCCTATTTAAACAACCAGTAAGCCATTCTTCCCCCAAAATGTCTCTCTTGCAACGTCTGTTAGTTTGCTGAAAACAAAAGCCATGGCACTCATTCCGTCAAGGTGATACATGAGGCACGAGACTTACCAGCTAAATTATGATTACTAACAAAAATAAATAAATGCCTCATAGTTTGAAAGCACAAAATTAATCTTTCAATAAATTATGTTATCTGATATAAAACCGCTTTCGTAAACATTATCTAACTAGTAAAGAAAAATGTTCAGTGACTAAATAATAAAAAATTTAGCCCAATACAGCAAAAAAAAAAAAGGGGGGGGGGATAATTTTTTATTCCAGAACAATTATCAATTTGAATAATTTCTGGAATTAGATTTACGTGATACCTGATACTCTATTTTCAGAAAAGTCGGTAGGTTGTATTATTTAAACCACTGATGACTGAGACAACTGAAAGTCGACGAGAGCGTGAAGTGGTCACTACCCTCCCACAACGAGCTTACCGTCTTCTTGCGAGGCAGGGTATGGGTACACGTGGTGGGAAGCCTTCGACTTCTCGTCAGTGTACGTTCCCTGGAAGAGATGCAAAAGCAAAGTACATGGTAGTCATAAATTAAGAGGTGTCAGATATAAAAGCATTATTTCACTTATTATAAGAATACTAAGATGTATTTAAAACCAAGGAAAACATTGATAAATATGTTTTTCTCTTTTTTTGGATAAAAATGTTTTCAATGCACACCTTTTATACTTTACATACAGATTATACAACTACCTCTTAGTTAATTCTCTATGACTCTCTTTCTCTAGATACCCATCCCAATATTATACCTGAACCCACTGCCATTGAGTCAACTGAGAATCACAGCAACCTTAGAGGACAAAGGAGAACTGTTCCAGAAGGTGCCTGAATACGATGGGTACCTCAAAAAACAGGTGGAGAAAACTCCACTAGGCGGAGCATTTGTTGTACCCAATTTTCCCACTAGGGGAGCATCAAGCAACTCACTCTGCGTTAGAACACCCCAGTGGCATCACCTGGGAAGGTTCTCTCAGGTCAGTAAATTTTTTCATGAAAGCAGTTTCACTCGATCCTTGTTTTTTGTGATGGCTGATTTAAGAGAACTGTGCACAGCTATGAAATTTTGTTTCTGGCATGGGAAAAGCGCTTCAGAAACTGTTGTGATGTTGAACACAGCTTACCAGGAAAGCTCTATGGGAAAAACTCAAGTGTACAAATGGTTTTCTCATTTCAAAAACGGTGAAATGTCAGCTGATGACAAACCTCATTCTAAATGTACGTCAACTTCCCGAAGGGGCAAAAATGTCGATTTGTAGTGCATTTGGAGCTTGTTCCATCAGGTCAGACTATTAATCAAGCTTTCTATTTAGAGGTTCTGAAAAGATTGCATAACAGTGTGAGACAAAAAAGGCCCAATGTGTGTCAGACGGGGGACTGGTTGTGCCACCCTGACAATGCACCTACTCGTGCAGCCATCTCAGTGCGCCAGTTTTTGGCAAAACCAGCATGTCTCTCTTGCCCCACGCACCTTACTCACCTGACCTCCCTTCGTAAGACTTCTTTTTGTTTGTGAAAATGAAGAGGGACATGAAATGACTGCGATTTAAAGAAGTAGAAGAGGTGAAGGAAAAAAAGAGGGAGGTGTTGTTAGCCATCCAAACAGATGAGTTAAAAAATGTTTCCAAGAATGGAATTGCAATGAGGACCTAATGTCGGAGGTTTCAACGGAGAGAAAATGTTTTGAGAAACGATGTACAAATGCGCTTTACACAATTGATGTGTGTATGGATTGGGATAACAGTTGTATGAGCCCCTAATAAAATGTTAAAAAAAAAAAAGAATGGAATTGCAGATTTGACAAATGTATTAAGTGTAATGGAGAGCACTTTGAAAGTGATGGTTGTTTTGTAAAAAAGGAAAAAAAATAATACATATATTTGAAGAAAATTCCAGTTTGGGAGGGGACAACCCCCTCGGATTTAAGGAAACAGAATGTCTCATCCTTCTTCCTCAGAGACTAGTGCCCTTCAGTTAGCAGCCCAATGCCAAATTAATTAACCCACTGCATCACCAAGGCTCCTTACCATTATTTTGCCTATATTTAATTCTAGCATAGAGCATGCAGAAGGCAAGAGTGAGCAGGCGTGGTAATTGGGCTGAGCAGAGGGCCTGACATGAGAGCCCTGCAGAGTAGAGAAGGCAAGTGGATCAGGGTCGCCAGAGGCTGGGGGAGGGGTGGGGACTGACTGAAGGGGCAGGAGGGATTTTTCCTGCTGCTGCTGTGGTATGCTGTCAAGTCCATTCCGACTCACAGAGACCCTACATGACATGGTGGCAAGTTGCCAGGTCTTCTCTCTCCAGTTCATACTGCCACCCTTTCAACTGAGCCACCAGGACTTCCTGGAGGGACTTTTGGGTACAGCAGTCTCTTGTTTATGATGATGGTTAAACATCTGTAAACTGCCAGAGCTCATCAAATTGTATACTTAAAGTGGTTTCATTTAATCCCTGAGTGACGTGAACGGTTAGCTAAGTGCTCAACTACTACTTGGTAAGTTAGCACTTTATACCACATCGAGGCACCTCGGAAGACAGGTCTAAGGATCTGCTTCAGAAAGGTCACAGCATTGAAAACTACATGGAACACAGTTCTACTCTCATCAAGATTTCGTGTCAATAACAACTAATAACAATTCCAAAAGTAACTCCAAAGTCCTCACAGGGTACCATTTAAACTGAATAATTACAGATCTACGGCACCGAGTCCCAAGATATATGAGCTTATAGGATGGACGTTTGAATCAATCCTAGCATATATTCTTATGTATGCTGTGGTTGTTATCTTAAATCAGCAAAACTATACAAATCTAATCCCTCCCCAGTGTAAAGAGCAAAATAAGAAAGGATATTTTCACCTTGAAAGCCAGCATGTTAATTTGTCTGTCTGCCTTATGTTATACATGTAATGAAGCCATACTAATACTTAAGTCGTTCAACAGAAAAGAGCGATGGGTGCAAAGGTTAGATGCTAATGTAAAGAGATACTGGACTTTCAGGTCATCTATACTGAACAGAATTTTACTCTACTTCTCTTGGGGAGGGATGTTAGCGCTAAGAAAAGGGTTGTACTAAATCTTAATCATACACATCAAATTCCAAGTTATTTTACTAAAAACTACAGTTGTAATTTACCTGGCAATCTCACTGGAGCAGGAAAGACATTTCATGAGGCTTCTCAACCAGTCCTACGGTTTGCTAACATGCTGCTGCTTAAACAACGCTGTTTACGAAAAAGTTCTTCTACCTGGGTTCCCTCAAGCAGTTACACAACACATCACAAGTTTAGTTACACCGTTGTTTCCTATAGTCACAAATGTGTCCTCTGTAAATACCCAAGGCCTAAGTCTCAAAAGTCAAGGTGGAGACAGGAAGGGACGCTGTCCAGAAGGCAGCACTGGGCTATGTACATGATGACAAAGTAAGCTTACAGGGGAAGATGGCATTTTCAGTATATTTTCAAAGAAACCATGTGTTAACTGAGGGAGCAAAGAGGCAGGTTTACTTCCAGGAACATTTGATCTCTTAGCACCAACAATGTGGCCCCAGCTCCCATGCTGGTTGAGATCTCCGGGGTGCAGAATTCTGGGATCAAGACACACTGGCCTCTAACTCTAGGGCTCTCTGGGTGGTACAAATGGTCTCATGTGTTTGGTTACTAACCAAAAGGTTGTCATTCAAGTATACCCAGAAATATTTTGGAAGAAAAGTTTAGTGATCTATTTCTGAAAATTCGAGATTGAAAACTCTATGGATGATAATTCTACGCTGACCCACATGGGGTCACCATGAATCCACAGAATGAGCTACATGGCAACTGCTTTGTGTTTTTCCTTTAACTCCACGGACATAAATTTCCGAAGACGGCAACAACTCTAATGATTTTACTCTATCTAGACTTAGAATTAAAGACAAGTGGAAAGAGAAACAGTACTACAAAAACCCAAAGATTTTACTGAAGTTGATTACAGGAATAAAAAAATATTCTAGATGAGGCTGAATACTACTTAATATTTTTAAAGTGACTGTGTCTATTACCTGATGTCGTTTGATGATATCTTTCAATTTATTAGCCAACTTCAGATCGATGTCTGGAATGAGGTAGATGTTAGGTCTGGTCAGACAATTGTTCTGAGGAAAAAGGGACAGACTTTTAAATTCTCTTAGTTTTAAAATAATGTCCTATTACTTATACATAGTCCTAATGGCAAAGGCTCGATTTCTTTTTTCTATGTTTTAAAGTTATATTTAATACGAGTTGTCCTTTGGATTAGAATGTAGAAGCCTTATCTAAAGAGGAAACCAGTGTTCAACAGGCTCACTCACATACGGCGCGCCATGCTCACATCCCTTCTCGGAACACAAAACGTTGAGAATCATGAAGTCGGTGTCAAAATTAAGGTTCTACATTATTGCCAGATTCCATACTTGCCGATGTTATCTACCCTCAGAGGAAACGGTTTAATGTAATGTTTTAAGCTACAAGTTTTATTTGGCCATTCTTTTATTTGGGAGGGGATAAAAGTGACCATTTTGATACATTATGTAATTTAGTTACTAGAAAATAAAGTCTATGGGTTTCAGCAGCTCATGTTTCCTATTTATAATCTTACAAAGAGCAACGATTTAAAAACATGTATATAAACTCCCGAATATGGTCCAAAACAATGCCATCAACCAAAACCACCCAATTATGTCTCTAGCCAATGGTCCATGGTGCAAACTCATTCCAAGCACTAAGTTCATGGTAACATCTAGCTAAATTTTTGCCATTATTCTCCTGTCAGGTAAAGTCAATTCAGTGATCAAGAAAAATGACTGAGCAATAAAAATACTAGAAATCACAAGCAAATAAAATGAAATATTCTCACCTCCAGGTTATAATCTACTAGGATAAACAAGATCTATTATTATGGCACAACATAAAACCCAAAGAAAATAACTTTTATAATTGACTAAATGTACCGTATATACTCGAGTATAAGCCAACCTGAATATCAGCCAAGGCACCCAATTTTAACCACGAAAACGGCATTTAAAATGTGCTGAAAAATTCGGCTTATACACGCGTATATACAGTATATAGTATTTATGTTAAAGTGGATTATATGAAATTTAAAGTATGATAGATTTTATCAGAAGTTTCAAAATCAATACTTAAAATAAGAATAATTATACCTTATAAAAAAAGAAAAAAGTTATGCCTTATAGTTCTAATACCCAAGACTAACAAAATATTTCAAAAATTTCTCTTTCTCTGATCTTTTTGGTATCCCAAAAAGTCAGTATTAAAATTGAAAAGAATATTGAAGACATTTTAGTTTAGCTTATTACCTGCACCAATGTCTTTTCAATGTTCATAAACATTTCAACATTTCGGTCCATTCTGGATGGGTTCTGTAGGTCAAACCTCCGCCTAAAAGTGAACACATTAGTTAATTTATCTTCTGCCATAAACAGAAACAAAAACTCGGTTTTAGCATTAAAAACACATGAATAATTACAAAAAATTTTGAAAATGAAAATGGCAACTCACGGTGTCAACACCGCCATGAAAAATCAAAACCCAAACCACTGCTGTGAGCCAATCCCAACTCACAGTGACGGGGACCACGGAGCAGAACGGCCACTGGAGTTTCAGAAACCGCAACCTTACCAAGTGTGGAGAGCAGAAATCCACCCAGCCAAAAAGAAAGGCCAGCTCCACGAAGCGTCCCAATTCTTTGTCTACAATATTCTGCATTTCATACATGCTCAGACTCAACAGTTAGTATTCCCGCAAAGAAAGCAAGTTGGATGTTTAATTTTACCATAATCATAACACAGTCATACATTTATTTAAATAGTCAGGATTTCTTCAAATAAGCATCCTAACTTACTGCACTATCAAGACAGAGCTGTATGATTCCTTAATCTGAGAATGTGGTAGCCAAGAGTATCTCAACGCCACAAAACTAATCAGAGGTAACACACAAATGATGTCCATGGCCTACAATCAGCTCTAAGTCCAATGGGCACACGCAAGTGCTGACTCATAGCAGGCCCCTGCAGATTCCTGAGATCGTTCAGGAGAGTAGAAAGCTCACCTTTCTCCCATGTGGATCTCAGCCCAACTCATGTAACCACTACACCACCAGGGCTCCTATGAGAAAGATTAAACTCACTTCTCTAAACATGCAAACTCACTGACATCCGAGCAGATTCCAGTGCCTAGTGACCGCATAAGACAGAGTCAAACTGCCCTTGTGGATTTCTGAGATTATCAATCTTACAGGAGTCAAAGCCTCCTCTGTCTCCTGTGGAGTAGCTGGTGGTTTCAAACCTTATAGTGAGCAACCCAATGCATAACCACTATGCCACCAGGGCTCCTTTCTTGGGGTTGCATAATATGGGACTAGTATATAAGGCACAGTATACAAACATCACCTGAGTGGCTATCATGTATGAAAACAAAGCACTGAGACTATGAGGAGAAATAATAAAGTATACCATGCTCTTCAGCAAGGTGCTTTAATACAAGAATGGAGACAAAAATATACTGAGTGTTTTACATATGACAGAGATGAACCTTGAGAAGGCATGTCATTAAAACATAGAACAGGAAGCGTGTGCCATAACTGTGTGGCTCTTAGGTCCTACTTGCTACGCCACCAAGTGAACAGCCGGTTCACCAGTTCGAGACCTGATCAAATTTGACGCTGCTCACAAGTTTCCCCAAAGCTGCAAAGAGGCCATCTTCTGCTGTTCATGATTCTAAGACACCACACATTTTGACACAACTAGGAATTGTGGGCCAAGAGGGGCATTGGCTATTTAAATCTTACATTAAGTTACTTAACTCCTAAAACTACTAGGGGCTATTAGATACAAATGTCAAGTTTCTAGCATTCTCATAACCCTACATGGAGGGGAAGTCAGCAATAAATTCAGAGCTTCATGTTGTTGATATCTGATGTCAAGCTAGCCCCAGATTTAATGGCAACCCTATATCTAATGATTATAGATTGGATTGTTAAGTTCCATAAGGTTCCTACTGGCTGGTTTTAGGAAACAGATCACTGCCCTTTCTTCCTAGTTTGTCGTAGCCCAGAAGCTCTGATCAAATCTGTTCAGCATCATAGCAACATGCAAGCCTTCACCAACAGACAGGTGGTGGCTGTGTATCAGGTATACCAGCTGCCAATCAAACCAGGCTGCTCAGCACAGACCTGAGAATTCTACCACTGAGACACCACTACTTTCAGACAGAGCTGAAATCTAAAGGAAGACAAAATATCTAGTATTTCTATGGGAACTGTCTAATGATTCTATGGCATGGTAAGTGGTTATCAAAGAGTAGTTGACTAGTATTTATAAAATGTCCTGAAAATTGGAAAATTTTAAATAGCACATTAAATGTAACAACTCTTGCGATTCTTCCATTAAAGGGCTGATACTTTTGAAAGAGTTACTCTATCTTAACACTTTGATACTACCTTTTTCTGCTCCACAGAAGACAAGGCTATCTTTTCCTATAAAGATTTACCATCTTGGAAATTCTACAAGTGTAGGTTCCCAGAATTATTTAGCCTACTGCTCCCTTTTCTTTTTGAGACAGTGAGAGTCAGTGAGTGAGGCAGTGAGAGAGTGAGGCGGTGAGCGAGTGAGGCAGTGAGCGAGTGAGACAGTGAGAGAGTGAGACAGTGAGAGAGTGAGACAGTGAGTGAGTGAGGCAGTGAGTGAGTGAGGCAGTGAGTGAGTGAGACAGTGAGTGAGTGAG